TCATCATGCTCACGTCTCAATATGAAAACGCTTTAAAAGAGCAGGGCTTGAGGACTTAGAGAGCAGTACCTATGCTCTGAAAGCCTTACATAATAAAGTTATAATGACACTTCTGTGAGCTCAGTGAAATAATGGAAACCATTTCAAAGGGAAATAAATCCCATCCTTAAATGCCTCTCTGTTTATTATCCTCACTGATGTATGGCCTTTGATATTTATATGGGTTCTTCTTCATGTGAGAAGACTGCATCCTCTTAATTTTCTCTTTAGGGTGGTGGTGTAGTGGTTAAGGCTCAAGGCTTGCAACTGGAAGTTACAGGTTCGATCACTTCATATATCATCTATATAATGTGGGCTAATTTGTTCATGCTTTCATTTTTTCAAGACTGTAGTACTCAGCTCTGTTTAACACATTTTACTATGCTTAATCCACTAAAGCTATCTCTCCAAAATCAGCAAAAATGCCAAAAAAAGTCAGCAGTGTACTTACAGTGTACTTAAAGAAAGCACACTTTCATGAACTTCTATACACACTTAAGTGCAGTTTTGGGGAAAAAAAGGAAAATTTAATGATTTTAGTTCAATAATTTTATATTTATATATATTAAAAGTACAATAATTTTTATGTGTTCGCTAACATACTGAAGCACATGTAAAGTATTTGATTATAATTTTAACACTGTTATTTGATATTACATTAAAACTATAAAAATATATTTCAAACCATTTTAATTTAAATGGCATATGTGTTTCAATAGAAATTACATTACAGTATATTTTAATTTACCATAAATGCTTGTCAGTACATTCAACAATACTCTTTAAGCACATTTAATAGACAATATAAGTAATAATAAAATAACATATAAAGTTTAAGTTCAACTTAAGTGGGTCAAAAAAAACTCAGCTTAATGAATGTAACAAATTTAAACTATAATACATTTTTATTTAATAGCAATTAATATGCAATGAAAATATTACTTTCATTTCAAACTATTATACATTCCTTTGTAGTATATATTTTTCCTTATGTACTCTTTTTAAAAGTATGCTAATCTTTCACAAGGGTATGCATGAACAGATTGATAAATGTATTTATATAATCTCTCTCTCTCTCTCTCTCACACACACACACAGGTTTGTTTTTGTGAAAAGTGGGGACATCCAATAGGCGTAATGGTTTTTATACTGTACAAACTGTATGTGCTATTGCCCTACACCTAAAACCTACAGGAAACTTTGTGCTATTTCAGATTTTCAATACACTCCATTCTGTGTGATTTATAAACGTTTTGAAAAATGGGGACATGGGTTAATGTCCTGAAAAGTCACCTTCTCCTTGTAATACCTATGTCATACCTTTGTTATTATACAAATGTATGTCCTCATTTGTCACACACACACACACACACACACACACACACA